CAAAACACTCACACACACACACATTTCAATTGAAAATGTAGGTTGAGGAAACATCTTGCAACAAGTAATTCTGTTTAGGACTACAAGAACCAAAAACTACCTTTGTGTTCCTGTTCAGGTTATCACGACTTGGATTGGTCTGGTTCTGGCTGCCTGCTGTCCTCCGACTCTGGATTTGTTCAGTCGTCATCTGTAACAGATAATTTATACATATCTTTAAAGGAAATTCTGCATTTTGACGAAAGCTGCTGTTCTATGCAAACCAAGAAACATTACATGATTGTTTGGTTTGTAATCTAAATGTCTATTCTGTAAACAATAAAACATGACTTTCTTTAAAGGAGTACCTTTTCAGTGTCATCAGATGTTGCAAATTTATCAGCAGACAGTTCACTACCAAAATCCTGTCGAAAGAAAAAAAAAGCTTAAATTTACAGGATGGCATGATTTATCTGGGACACTTTATGGATAGTTTGACCATGTTTGAGCTTTGTGGGCAAAACATGTCATCTGAACACAGGGGAACACCACTGTTCACTGTCGCTGATGGATTTGAATAGTAATTGTTTGTAGTTTTGGAGATGAGTATTTGTCTGAAGTGGAATTGAAGAGGGAATGCAAGTGTGTGATATGTGTTGTAATCATTCCGTTTCTATACAAGGAGAAAATTGTGCTCTGCATGTAACCAATCACATGTATGATACACCCAAGTGGAGCAGTGGGCAGCTATGTAAGCTGCCCGGGGAGCAGTTGGGGATTAGAGGTCTTGCTCATGGGGCCCTAGCAGACCCCCAGTAAACATAATGTTCTTAGTGCAAGATATTCAAGTAGGTAAGAGTTACACTGTGGAGATGAACATAGGGAGTGTTACTGTGCTTGTTTGAAGCGGTACAGTGTGACGGATCCTGGAGAGTGGAGGGAGCAGTTTCATCCACCACTAAGTGCAAAGGTGGAGCCAGAAGTTGGCCAATGGCAACCAACTACAGATTCATGTTCGGCCACTCCATCATTTGACAAACCTATAGTTACACATTTTCACTTGTCTGCTGGATTCCTTAGATAGAGAACTTTACTAATTGGCTTTTATGTATGTGAATGTTCCTGTAATGTGCCCTGAGACAACTTTGTTGTGATTTGGCGCTATATAAATAAATTGAATTGAATTGAATTTTTAAAACTAAGAAGCAGTTTCCTGAAATGACAGGGGTTGTCAGTTTGTATTAATGTGTGTTTGTGGCCATCTTGGATTTTGTTGAAGCTATCCAATTTTCAACAATGTCTTTCCTTATGCTTATATGCAACCACATATTTTTCCAAATTATCAACCCCACATGACAGATGGATGGATGGACAGATAGAACTCTCCTCTGTGCTGCATGATGGGTGGACAAAAATAAACATTTAATTTGGTGAATGAAAGAAAACTATCTTTTTTAAAACTGTGACTAATATTATTGAAGTCCTTCTTTACAATGCCTGCATTATTTAAGTATGTGATATCTCATATAAATATGTATGGCCTTTATTTCATTTATCAGTTATTGGTTACTAAGTTGTGCAGCACAGTGGCACAAATGGTAGAACTGTTGCCTCTCAGCAAGCAGGTTCCCCTGGTTCTAATACTGATCTGGGGGCTTTTCTGGGTGAAGTGTGCATGTTCTCTCCGTGCATGTGAGGGTTTTCTCTGGGTTCTCTGGTTTCCTCTCACAGACCAAACACATGCATGTTAGGCTGATTGGTAACTCTAAAACTGTCCCTAGGTGAGAGTGAGTGAGCGAATAGTTGTGTTTCTCTATGTGTCCCTGTGATGGACTGGACACCTGTCCAGGCTGACCCCCACCTCTCGCACAGTGGTGGCTGGACAACGCCGCCCGCACCCCAAAAAGGAAGACGTGGGTAAAGATAATGGATGTATGGATGGAAGGTGACTAAGTTCTAACCAAAATTATAATATTCAAAGACCAACATAACCTTCGTATTACTTGAAAAAACAGAAAGTCCATGTAAACAATTTGGACTTTCTAAGTCACATTGGAGTAACTTACCACTGAAAACACTCAAGCAGACAATCAAACAGTTTACAGCTCATGACAGTCCCAACAAACCACTGTCCATAAAAACCACAAAACACACACACACACACACACACACATTTCAATTGAACATGTAGGTTGAGGAAACATCTTGCAACAAGTAATTCTGTTTAGGACTACATGAACCAAAAACTACCTTTGTGTTCCTTTTCAGGTTATCACGAACTGGATTGGTCTGGTTCTGGCTGCCTGCTGT